GAAGCATGTCCAAAGAAGGGCAATGAAGCAGGTGAAAAGTCTCAAGAACAAGTCTTATGAGAGAAGCAGATGAGGAAGCTGTGGTGGTTTAGTGTGGCAAAAAAGAGGCTGAGGGAGACCTTATTTCTCTCTACAACTACCTGAAAGGAGCTTGTAGAGAGGTGGGCATCAGTCTCCCATGTAATAAGCAATAGGATAAATGGAAACCGGCTCAAGTTGTACCAGGGGAGGTTTAGATTGGACATTGGAAAAATATTCTTTCACCGAAAGGGCTGTCAAGCATTGGAATGGGCTGCTCAGAGAAGCACCTGAGTCACCATCCCTGGAAGTATTTAAAAGATGTGTAAATGTGGTGCTTCAGGATATGGTTTAGTGGTAGACCTGGCATTGCTAAGTTAACAGTTGGACTTGATCTTTAAGGTCTTCTCCAAGCTAAGTGATTCCATGATCAATTTCTCGCTTTTTGCTTCAAAAAGCATTTGAAGCTGGAAAGTTAAATACACAATTCTCCTAAGAAAATGCACTTGCAATGACACCTGATGAATATCAGTCAAATGAGTTTCTTTTACACGGAAGGTGAAGAGAAGTGCACCAGGCTAAGTCAATCTCACCTAAACTTGCTAACAAAAAAGAGGGGCAGGTCCTATCACCTTTCCTCAGAATTCAAGTCCAAGCTGTATGCTCCCTTTCACCTCCTCTGCACCAGCAATTCCACTCAATGCTAAGGGAACAAACAGCTCTGCTAACCTGGCAGAAATAAATAATGCAGAAAATTTAACAGTTTTCTATTAAGTTAGCTAATAAAATCAATTCTTCAGTCAGCCATGCTACAGAGTGCAGTAGATGAGAAGCGCTAGCTCTGCACTGATGCAAGCAAAACAGCAAGGGAAGACCTCTTATACTGGAAGCAGCTAAGTATTACACTTCTAGCTTTCAGCACATATCTTTAAGCTTATTCTAAAACATATCTAACTATAAATAGAACATTAAAAAGGGAGCTTTTCAAAACAAAACAATCAATGGAAAGCTTTTGTAGGACTTCTTGCTTTTAATTTCTGCCAAATTTGGCCATAATCTCATCTTGACTGAAACTCCAAAATGTCAGGAATGCTACACGATCCAATACCATATGTGGTTTGCAGGTATCTTATCACTTTTTTTTTTTAACTGAAGTCTGTCAAATCTTATTATTTTTATAGTGTAAAAGGTTAGGTACATACCCACTGGCCATTATGCTTACATTAGTCTTTTAGTTTGTGAATAAAGTGCTATACATATGCAGAAACAGCAAATTAGCTCCATACAGGTCAGATAAGGTCATTGGGGCTACTTAGCTATGCTCAAGTACCAAGAAAACAAGGCTGAAGCTTCAACAGATCAAACACACTCCAGTAACACTAAGTCATCCTTGGAAACACTTGATGCAAAAAGAAAACATGAGAATTTGGGATCATTCCAACAGAAGCAAAGCGGGCCCAAAAGCAATATCATCATCTCAGGAAAGAGAAAGGTATGTATGACAAATCCTCTGTTTCCTTTAATTATCAAAAATGTATGACTAGATAATAAATACAGGCATTCATGATCTTACCATACTGGCTGAAGTTCCCCAGGCCTGCATTGTGCAAGATATCCAGCATCTGACTACTAATGCAATGGATGTTATCCAAATGTTTAGCCTTTGAAGCTTCCAAGAAGGTAGCAAGTTGGATTTTGACTACAAACTGCCAGTTGAATAGCACTGAGCCAAGAGCTACGGTAACCATAATATTCTTGCTAGTCAAGTCTTTTACGAGGAACATCTTGCCACCATTCTCTTGGTGTTGCCGTGACAGACTACAAGGCTAAATACTTGCAATGATACTGTAATACACAAATAACTTTATAGGTATCTCTCGTTCCAGAGGCCTGCACTCAACTGTGCTAATTAGACAACACCAATCTTACAATCTGAATTTGTATGCTTCTCTTTCCCAGAAAGATGAATTTATTCTGCAAAAGTTCCCATGCATCTACAAAATCACAATCAAAATATTCAGCTACAATAATAAAAATCTATTAGAGGTGTCAATGTATTCCAGAATTACTGTAGCCCACACAGCACTTAATAGTTCGTAGATATGCCAAGCAGTTAAAACAGAACTTGCTTGCCTCAGAAAGAATCAATTGATCTGAAAAACTTTAAAACTTATCACCTGTGAAAGAGGCAATTTTATTTATTTAGTGATCCAATCGCTGTCGATGCTGACAGAGCTGAGCAAAAGGAAAAATATCACCAGAAGCATGCTTTATTTTTTCTCATCTGTAGTTATTCACTTTTGAATACCACTAGAACTTGCTGGATTACACCACTGCTCTGGACAGAACTGTGTCTGATCTAAAATACTAAGTCCATCTGACCTGTGAAATGAACTTTATGTACAACATAAAGTTCCTCTGAATACAACAAATTTTAATTAAGTGGGAAAAAAATGGGAAAGTACAAGCAACAGAATTTCTCATTATCTAACTCAGCTTTTTGAGGAGTCCTGGGAACATATGATCATTGCCTAATATTCCTCTTGCATCATTTTAACTACAGCCTTAAACATAAAAGGAAATGAGAGACCTAAATCAACTAGTCTCCTTTCAAGTGTGAAAACTTTAAAGTAGCAAAGGGGAGATTAATCTCTAAACTAGCTGAAACAGCTACCTTTTCGTAAAGTCAGCTTTTCCATTATATTTATTAAGCATGTAACTTAATAAAAGACTTGCCCTGAATATCTCAGCTCTTTGTGGCAAGAAAATGTGAAGTCTTTACATATTCATTCTAATATTATCAGTAAGACATAAGTCATGTCTGTGGCAAGAAAATTCCCATCATATATCTTGATCAATTTTTCTTGCAATATTTTTTGTGAATATAACAACAATTTTGGATAAATGAACACAGGTGTGAAGTTTTAAAATACAATGAATGTAAATTTACCTTAACATGCACAGAGTATAAGCAAGGCAATTCTTTTGAATTTTTGGCTATTCAGCCACTAGCTGAATGAGCTCGGAACACTTCACAATTTCTGGCTATATATCAGCCTTGCAGATTACCAGCACCCAAATTTAACTGAAACTCTTTTGAAAATGGCTACTTCTGTCCAGAAGTACAGCCCCACCTTAGCATAAAAGTTTATCTTTAAAAGTTAAGAAAGGTTTGCACAAGCTGATTTCTCAGTTGCATAATTACATAGTTAGTAATAAATTTCATAAACATATATTGGTTTAAGATTCTACATTTAAGAGTCCATTTGGGGGAAGGAAGGCTTTAAAGTCAAGTCCCTAATATTTTCTTTTTTACCGCCACAATTTCTGCACTTAAAATACATATATTACTCATATTTATAAATCTTACATACAGTATCTTACTTTTTCACCCACAGTAGAAACGGAAGATCCAGACTCTTCAAGGTAGCTATCTTACTGGCAACTCATGGTAAACTTTTCTCTTTTTATTTTGTAGCTATTTTACTGACACAGTACTTTAGAGATTTTGTAGTGCATTACAAAGTGATGAAAACTGTGCCACTAACATTGACAGATTGCAGTGCTTCTGTTCTAACTAGGATAATACAAGCTCTAGTATCCAGTAACTGAAATAGTATACTGGGGAATAAGTAAGCAAAAACTAACCACCAGAGTGTATTCAAATATTGTCAGAAATAGAACTTAACTGGCATCCTTAAACATCAGAAGAAATTATTTTTCCCACTGTTCACAACCTACCCTATATTAGCCAGGTCTCCTCCTCCTCTAAAATTATATTTAATGGCTTTTTTCAAGTACTATTCAGAATTTTACCTACCTAATTGCTTTCAGAGTCCTCCAAGAAACATTTTTATGTGTTGCCGCCATTCTTACACATATCATTAAGAGGTCTAAACTGCTCTTCGTTAACTTTATAATTCAGTTTGGACCATCTGCTCCATAATGTTCCTAGTGCATCCCACTCCCTCCCCATTAATCCTCATAAATATTCTTTCTTCCAAGCACCTCCAGCTGGGCAACAATATGAAAACTTAATTTATTTGCTCACCCTCCAAAATTTTACTGCTACTCCATTTTTCAATAAAATTCCCATAAGGCACTGCACAGAGTATTTGACAAATGCACTTTTCCATCTAGTTTTGGAGACCACTGCAATCAGTTACACTCATACTTCATGAAATTCTCAAAATAAAGATACAGAAGAACACAGAACAACTCAGGAGTTACGATCTCTAGTTTGCCACTAATAAACTCAGAACCAACTCATGTAAAGCGTTTGACACCAAACAGAAATCATTGTCAAGGATCACTGTAGCATCAACATGGATTTGCAAAACCACAGACATCTAAAATTCTAATTATAGCACACTTGAGAAAGTACTTTCAAGTCCAGAAATCCCACACCTAAATACCTATTCAGAGTTAGAAGCCATGATGCGATATTCAGATGTTTAAGCAAGACCTAGGAGCTAAAATAAATATATTAAAAATAATGCACCAATTTTAGTTCAACAGTGTGCCAAAATACCTTGTGAGCATAGAAAATTAGTTGATTGTTTACTTCAGGTAAGCTAGCAAATGGGACAAGTCAGTCATAACTCAAACTATCATTACAACCACTACTGCAAAATGGTTAAAAATAAAACAAAAACAGGCACTTCCCTGAAAAAAAAGTTGGGTCTTCTAACAAAGCAAGTACAAATATACACACTGTATTCACATTACTATTAATAGAAAAGTTAACCAACAACATATACAATTGCATCAGTTCATACAAAAAGAACTTTTAAGCATTTTTGAGAATGTTTGAGTATCTACATCGAACATGCATTAACTCCAGCATTAGAACTCATCTAGGTTATGATATTATTTCTTGCCAATTAGCTGGCTTCCATATATGGCATTTCCTTGAAACAGAGAACAGAGTGACAAAACATCATGGTACTTAAGATTATAAGTTGAATTCAAAGAGGACATACCCACTGCTGGTGCATCATATTCATCCCCAAGTAAAATTTCAGGAGCAGAATATGCAAGAGATCCACAACTTGTAGTGAGCTTCTTTCCAGGCTGAAATTTGTTGCTGAAGCCAAAATCAGTCAATTTCACAAGTCCTTGTTTTTCAAAGAAGACAACATTCTCTGGTTTTAAGTCTCTATGAACCACGTGCAGTTTATGGCAGTAGGATATAGCATGAACTATTTGAGCAAAATATTTTTTTGCCAGATCCTCATTCAGACCTTCTTCATGTTTCATGATGTAATCAAACATATCTCCTCCATCACCTAGCTCTAAGATAAGATAAAGCTTAGTCTGAGTGTCAATCACCTCATACAGTCGCACTATATTAGGATGCTGCACTAGTTTCATGCATCTAACTTCTTGAAAAAGATGTCCGGTAGCTAGAGTGTCCAGTTTGGTCTTGTCTATTACTTTTACTGCTACTTTTTCACCTGTAAAGACATGCCGAGCAAGTTTGACCACAGCAAAATGCCCTCTGCCTAAAGTTTTATCCAAGTCATACAATCCCGCAATTTTTCCATCATATCCTCGTTTGAAGCCTGCCATTCTGTTTCAGAAGATGAAATAATATTTAAGCTCTTTGGAAATGTGACCTTTTCATACAAGAGTATCTGATGCAAATAAATAGTCCGTTGTCACTGCCAAGAATACCTAAAAGGAAAGAGATAAGATTATGTATTTGTCTAAAAATAAGCAAATGATTAACTTGTAATTCTCCCAAACTTACATTGGCACATTATTGCATATTATTTAAGAAATTCAAGGTTTTTTGCAAAAGGTTTGATGAGAAATCTGTAGTAGCCAACAGATTTCTGAAATTATTTTATCAGTGCATGCTTGAAGAAAGTGAATTTCAACAGTGCGATACAGAAAATTTCTCCGAAAATCAGAGGTGCTCATGTTCTTGAGTTAGAAGTCTTGCAAGTGACACTTGAAGAAGTCAATGTTATAAGGACTGTTAAGACTTATCAAGCTGAAATCTGTAACCTCTCCAGCTACAGAATATTTACAAGGTACAGAATATAGACAATATATATATGTATATAGAATATTCACAAGAGGAACATGTTTGATTTATTTTACTTTTGGCATATTCCTTCATGTTGCAGCATGAAACAGCTCTAATACAAAGTTCTGATGGTGTGACTTTGGACTTTACCTTCTCCCGTTGAACATCTTCCTTTTTAGCAAAGCTCAGACTCACATACAAGACTTAGTTTTTACTCTAATTAGTTTGAGCATTATCAATCAATACTGTAATTACAACAAATTAAGAAAGCTTTACAGGCTGAAATGAAACATTTCAGTTAGATGTACTCTTAGTGCTCAATAAAATGCCTTGCTAAATATTTTGACTGGAATTATAAAAACAAGTGTTAAAACATTTGAATGTAGGATGCATATGTTCAGCAGTCCTTGGAATGAGTTGGAAGAAGAGTGCGAAGGAAGGGGAGAGAGCTTATTTGTGCTGAACTCCTGCTTACCAGTTAATTTGGCATTTAAGTGGACAAGATATAAAGCTTTCATATTCAAACCAGTTTTTGGAGGTCTTATGTCCCATTGCCATTTTTTTCACACACAACCTCTCAAAACCTTCTGCATCTTTAACTTAGATTGAGGTTTAAATCTGTAGCTATCAAAAGGCTAACAATTTCTTCCGCTTTTGAGTGTAAAGTAGCTAGAAATATGGCTTATTGCCAACTCAAAATACAGAATACACAGCTCTTTAGAATATATTTTAGTTTCAAAATTGAACTTCAAAAAGAAAATCTTTGAAAAGGAAGCTGGCCATTCCCTGCTAAACAAGTTATTTCACAGGCAGTGAAACTAATGAACCTAGTTTCATACAGATTCAATTACAAGGCTGGGGGGTCCTATGAGGACTCTCTGATGTTTAACAAGCTCACCTTACTGCTTCTCTTAGCTGTAGCCATGGTATAACCTCTTCTCTATCCAGCTGTCAAATTCAACAAAGTTCATAGGAATTCAGCTTGAGACCTCCATCCCTGTAAAATTCGAATGAAATTAATCAACTCCTGAAAACTTTGTAACTCAGACAAGGAACAGAGTAAGTGTAACAATTATAAACACTGGGATTTGGGCTTTTGCTTTCCTTTAAAGATAATAAGCAAGTTTTAAAAACTTCATTGGGTTTTGTGTTACTGTACCTTTTCATGCTGCTACTAAGCACTATGCTTCAAACACTCTTCCAAAAACCACTCCACTTGAAGACGCCATAGTATCAAAATTGGGGTCGGCATATCTGCTTCCTGACACATGCCATACTTACTGCCCGTCTTACAAAGTTTCCTCTGCCACTCCAAATAAACCACGTAACACCAGCCCATCCTTATTCCAGAAAAGACAACACAACGTTGACGTTAGAGCATGCCACGTTAATGCCCATGTCAAATATTCTCCTACCTTGTAAGTAACCATTAGAGAATGCACAGGGAAGAACATAGTACAGTGGCAAATGTAACGATAAGTAATTAAACTCTTGTTTTCAAGAGATTTAAAAAACTTCTTTACATCAGAGGGCAGTGGCTTTGTGTTTAACAATGCTTGATAGATTCCACCCCATCCCTCGCTGTGAAGCTAGGCAGAAACTTTAGTAAAGTATGTGAATTTTTAGTACCAAGAATATCCTGCCATGAAGAGTTTAATACCTTAACTATGTGCTGTGAGAAGAACCACTTCCTCTGGTTTGTTTTTAATCTCCTGAAAATTTGTGCATCTTCTCATTCACCATGTGCTCCAAAAGAAGAACTATCATACCTTGCCTTTAGCAACTTAGTTTTAGCTTCCTCCCTTCCTAGCTTCAGTTCAATCTTCAAGTCTTAGTCTGTTACTGCTTTAACAGAAGTTATTCCACAGGCTTTAGCGTTCTTATCTTTCTCAACACATTTTCTGGTTCCTTCTATACTCCCTTCTCAGGCCAATTTGTTGTGGTTTTTTACTACTACTGAGCACTGACATAATATTTTCATGTAATGCTTTATTATAGTGGCATAATGTCGTATCATACTGACCTAACCCCCAAAATGCAAGTTAATGAAAAATAGTCCATGTACACACATAAATCATCTAATCTTAGCCTCTATGAAGCAATAAGGGAAATATTAATTAGCTGTTCCCCATATGGTTGTGTGACATCAGAGTCATAATCCTAAAAGTACTGCAAGCATTTAAAAAAAAAAAAAAATCCCACACAAACACACTTTATAGGACTGCTGCCGCCAGAGTACCCTAATTGGACTCTTCACTGTTCTAGATTCATAAACTTACAAGGACACCATAAGACATCACTCCTTCCTACAAATCTGTTTTACACATAGTGCATCATATAGTCAGTGATTTATGCCAAACTACTTAAGAATTATAAAGCTTAAAATAAAAACAAAACTATGGGAAAACAGACAGCCATTCCCTCTACAAATGAAGTTACCAACACCACAAACTCCAGTGATCAAGTTTTTATGTACCATTTTTTTCTTCACCGTTAAGTCCAGCCTCAAGATTTACGTCTCTGTTCATACAAATTCATCACATCCTACAAATCCAGTCCAGGTACTGAAACGCCTTTAATCTCTGAGCAGGAAGACATGGTTTAAGAGATTTTTTTTGTTTAAAACACCTGCAGAAAAGACAGGGCTTTCTTTTCAGTCAACTTCAGCTTTTCTTTCTTAAATTCAAGAAGCTCCATCCCTGGCATAGCAAAAGGAAGAGAGCAAACCTAGCCAGATGTAACAGAATATGCTTACATTCAGACAAGTTACATCAGCAGCAAGGAAAGATCTGTATTAATTGTTTTGTTTACTTGGCACACTCTCAACCATCTTTGCACAGACTCAAGTGATTTATCTCTAAATCACAGAATACACATATACATCAACTTGTCAACAGAATTCCAGCAAAAATCAGTTATGTTAATCCATGGAGAAATGCATCAGAGAGTCATCAACAGGATAAAAGCTTACAGAAATGGAAGACAGACTATGCTTATTAATGTTGCAGCCCCATTAGCTAAAAAAAAATTAATGCTAATTCATTAAGACTTTAACATAGTCTCCACAATAACACACCAACTAAATTTAAATTTGGTGGCTTTACAATAAATCTTTAGAGATGATGCTCCCACAGATAAACACAAGGATCTTAGACACATGCATAGTTTGAAGAGAGCATACCAGAGCATACCAATTGTTCAGTAGTAAGGAGGAAATGGGTGCAAAACTAGCACACGTAGGCACATCCTGATTACAAATATGCTACCGAAAGGACCACAGTTTCTATACCAATACTTTTCAGAAACGTAGTTTCTTTTCTCAGTTTCTCTCTAGAGTAAGAAAGCAGAATTTTGAAAGCACTAATAGTGCAATTTCACAAGGTACCAGCTTTCAAGTTGAAGCCTCTTTGTGGTCCTTTCTTTGCAGTTGTTTCCTCAGTTACATCAGTAAAATTTTGGCAACAGCTATAAACGGAATCACGTAAAACTTCCAAATTTAACACATCTATTACCATCATGCTCTAAAACAGGGTTACTTCTAATGACAGATCATTTCAGTGACTCAGCTTACAATGTGACCTCTTGAACATTTTTATCAAAGGAGCTGCAAACTGCAGCACATGAAAACCAAAATTTCAATCAGCCATACTTTGTCACCAAGCCAAAGCACAGCCTGAGGAACAATATCTAAGAGATCTGTATTTTTTGTTTACCCATCTTTCCTTTAATTCACATTATCTCAAGTCTTTTATAAGTTCATTTTTCAACCTTAGAGTTTTCTAGTTGGCAAGCTTACTAACCATTAGCAGCATTTAATCCATTTGGCTAATTATGGTTTTAAAAATGCATTTTTCTCTAGCTATACCAGAATTCAGCTACGCCCCCAATACTCATTTTATGCAATGTAGACATTTACCAGTAAATAGATTCAGAACAGATCCTTCCTTCCATAAAAACTCATACATTCTATCCCACAAAATACTGCAAACAACCTCTGTAATGGAGAGCTGCAGAAGCCGTTTTGTAATATCACATGTATCTGATTAAGAGGCTTAACAGTACTGTGATTGAACCATCTCTAAAAGATGGATGAATAGATCTCTAATAAATCTGTTAAGAATAACAGCATGTTTCAGAGAGACTAGTTTTTCTTTAAGCAATTCATCTTGCCCAAATAGTTTCATTATATTATATATTACATGCAAGACCTGCCTAGTTCATCTTTCCTTAACGTGTATATTAGCTTCTTACTTCAGAAAATGAAGATTCAATGTCCCATTTCAACAAATGTTATAATACTGTAGATTCAAAAACTTTCCTGCTTTATCAGACTAACAGACATAAAAGCTGAAGTAATCTTCACTGGGACTTGTCTGTACACAGAGAGCTAACCATTCCTGTCTCCCTTCACCATAAATAAGAGACTCAGTCAACACAGATAAGATTCTATGACAAAACAAATTGCACCCTAAAGCAGATAGCTAAATAGATCAAATGAATAATTTCTTAGAAGCATGCATTTTCATTTGTAAAGGGACTTTAGGATAACTAGTTCAGTGAACGTATATATTATACACATCCACAAGATATATTTAATAAGTTACTTCATTTCTCCTTTTGCTCTTTTGTCTCAGTTATTTGCTACATAACTGTATGTTGAGAGTCAGTCTTATCGTTGCTATTTTTCCTAGAAACAGTAAACCAAAATTTAACATAAATTGATCCGATTAAGCTTCATAGCCTAATCCATGAGCCCTTAAAAATATTCTATCTTGATTACTATATGAGCCACTACCCACATGTGATGTTACACCTTCACCAGTGTGTCAATCTCCCTCCCCCGAGAGGGTTTTCAAACATCTTTCCTTTTATAGGAGAAAGTCAACATGCTAGAGACAGATACTAAGTATTTCAAGAGCGAAGTTTGAAGAACATGCCTAATGCACACCACATGCTCTGTAAACTAGTCATGAAGAACATATACACTTAACACATACCACATGCTCTGAAAACTAGTCACGACTCAATTCCTCCAGAGTATTTGAAACTTTTCAAGCCTCATGCTACCTAATATTCCCAAGAACCTGCATTCTCCTTTTGTTTCCACACAGAGGTGTCACAGTCCAGCAAAGCCCTCTCTCCTCCACCTTTCTGTGACCTAAGCCTTCACAACTACCATTCAAACGTACTCAAAGAAATTACAGCAATCTCTAACTGCCCTACAGCCAATTCTTTGTAAATGCAACTTTTTTGTTTTGTTTCAGTTTTTTTGGGGGGAGGGGTTGGGGGAGGAAGCAGTAAAGGAAGGAAGACACAACACACAGAGACAGTGGTTTTACAGCTCAGCCTAAGGGCTATCCAAAGCTTTGTTTTCAATTTTGCATGACCCATACCACAGCATATAGATATATCTTGCCCCTTCGCTGATGACAAGTCCCATAAACTCTCCTGCTCCTGGCAAGTTCCACAATAAAATACTACAGTATTTTCCAGGATATTTTCATATTAGGCCTCACTGTCATCTCCCACAGCGTCAGCACTCACCTCACACTGCATTACTAAAATGTCAAGATGTATCAGCAAATCTCTCTACCATTCAGCATGGCTACACCTAAAACGAAAGAGTTTTCAAGTAGTTCTACATTCCAAGCATAAAAAGAATTAACCTGCACAATTTAACAATATTCCCTAGTTTTAAACAATCTTTAGATCTTTGCTCTGAAAAGATATGAGAGCTGCTAACTGCCAGTTAAGTTCTGTCATTAAATATTTGGGAAGCCTACAGTGAAATGTTAGTGTTTCACTATTTTAGAATGTATTGCAGGCATTCAAGCTACTGATGGCTACTGTTAACTTGTCTCAGAATACAGAAATAAAAATAAAAGGCCATGAAAAATATTTTGACTCTAAGTTCCATTATCCAGTAAACAACAAGCAAAAGAAATATTTGGCAGGTCAATAAACTTTGTAAAACATTGGTCCTGGACCTATAAACAA